CACGCTGATCACGGCGCCGGCTTAGATTTTTGTATGAAGCAACAAATCTAGCACATCCTTTCTTTGGAAATTTTTCCAGTTTTCACCACTCTGAAAATTTTGTGTATAGATTGATGCGCACATGTTCACATGGTCTATGAGCGCAATGCTTGCTAAGGAAACAACGAGCATCAAATCACTTATCAGTAAGCAATATCAAAACCTTCAGCTTTTTCTATGCCACAACAGATTTTTATCGGAACTCTTTATTATGCCTTACATTTCGGCGGAAAAACGCCGTCCTCAGAGGCCTGAAAACGATCCAATCACTTCTATCAAATGCTTTATGCGATCAAACGCCTTAACCAAGTTGTACATCTGATTCTAAAGTGATCGGAGCCTAGGGTCCACGCCGAATTGACTTACCAAGAGTTCCACAGAAGAACACGACGAAAGCTCTTTCGGTCGCCTACAGGATATGGTGACAATAAATAGTCCATTTGAGTTGGACATGTTTATGTAGCTATAGCCATTTTGCCATCAAACGTACGATTTGGTTGAGCCGTTTGATCGCATAAAGAGTTTTATGGAAGTGATTCAATTGCTTTCAGGCCTCTGAGGATGTGTTCCGCCGAAACGCAATGCTCAATAAAGAGTTCTGAATAAAATCTGTTGTGGCATAGAAAAAGCTAACGATATACTATCAACATGGCAAGGTTTGAAGGAAGGAGAACTTATGGAATATCAAAACCGTTGCTGTATCGTAAATTTTGTATCTAGCAGTTTAGTGGCTGAAGTTAGAAATTGCATTTGGAAAGAAGAATCAAAGGACCCCTTCCGGCAAGGACAAGGATATATAGATATAGCCATTTTGTATACAGCAACTTTGTTGTTTTTCCGTGATTGTGACAATGATCTCCTTACAAGAAAATCCTTTCTAGTCGAGGTGGCTCTTCCAAATTATCTTATATCACTTTAAAGAGCATTAAATACTGATTCCAAATCTGCTTTCTTTTCTGTGATAAAACTCTGTGGAAGAAGTTAGGAGCAATTGAAACTCCAAATTTTAGGCTTTAAGTGGCATAAATTAGCAAATCTTGTAGAAAACACTTGGACGTGGCTAGTTGCATTTGTATCAACTATATGGATTATAAGGAAGTAATACAGCCGGTGGAAATTCGCATAGATGTTTTTACAGGCTTTCTCTAATTTTATGCCACTTAGAGCGTACAAATTTGGGCTTTCAGAAGCTCATAACTTCTCAGACAATACCTTCCCGAGAGCTTATTTGTCGAACATCGCGAGAGCTTTACGGGAACTTTCCGAGGTGACCCGCGGAAGGTTCCCCACAGCCCTCGCTGAGTTCCCGCAAATTGCCTGATCTTTCGGAGAGCTGTTCCACAGGAAAAGAAAGCAGCTTTGGAATCAGCGTTAAATGCTTTCTGAAGTGGCATAGAAATCACTTGAAAGGTCCGCTTCAACCAAAAAGGCTCCCCTTTTTAGGTGGGTAATCCAAACCGCTATATTGGTGCATTGGCTAATTGCATAACGCATGAAACTATGATGCCATAATAGCTTTGATGCTATAGGTTTTGCGAGTGGTTGCTTCAAATTTTGAGCATCCAAAAAGATAAAGCATGGAAAAACTTTTCCAAAACAGGTATGTTAGTAAACGAGCTTGTAGTGTAAATGCGACCAAATATACGTAAGAAGTTTCTCATGACAAAGGAGCTATAAACATTCTGGATAGGATCTAAACTACTGAATGCTTCAGTACAGCTTTGCTTGCAAGCAACCTTCAAATATTGACTTCACTCCTGAATGGAAAAGGACAAAAGTTCAGTTTGTGAATTAATACGTGTACTGCACAGCGCGCTATCCTATGCGACATGATTTTGGGATGCCCTATATAACCACGACTTTGGGCGCGTAACGGCTAGCCCCAGAAATTCTTCATAAAGTTGTTTCAAAATTTTCCAAAATTATTTCTGAATGACGATCACTTCTACGACTCACTTCCACAATTTTCTGACTGATGACAGCACTTTTACAAATCTCGCGAACTATCCCAAGCAAGGTCCCCGTGTACTAGTTTTCCGTTCCCGTTCAGGCTCGTATCATCAAAAGGTTACTGCATGACGAGCGCAGAAGCTGTATTAGTTGAACGGGCGCGAACGCGGTGAGCGCGTATCTTCACCATTGTAAACCTTGCGTCTCAAGCGCTCTGCGGCTAATAAGGCAGCGTTCGCGCCCAAAGATATTGCGCCTTCGTCATGCATTAGCCTAAAGCGCTCTGAGGAAGGACGTCAATCATGCGCGATCGCTAATTTCGAAGGAAACAGCTTTCATTTTGTAGGAGAACAGACCAGCAACCGTCATAATCTAATCTTGTTATCAGAAATCAAATGTTTTGGGTCACTAATAATCTCCAAGATGTGTGAATACAGTACGCAAAAAATATTTATTCGTAATGAAACTGATCACTTTGTCGCTTTTCTTCTTTCAAATGCGCATTTAGTCATGATGGCCGCATTGTGAACAGTGTAATCACATCCGAATATATAAGTTTTCTTTCTAGTTCCGAAGCATTCCGATATTCCGCAGAATTTCGACTTTGGTTTGGGCAGCTGAAATGGCTGGCTATAATTTTGTCCTCCGAAACTTACGATGCTCTAAGAGGAACCTTTAATTACTATCACATATATTAGACTCTTTAGTGGTTCACCTATAAAACACTTAGTCTCTTTTCGGCCCATATGTTATAAGTTTTCACTCAATTACGTTAAATTTCGATTACCATCAAGTGTTTGTTGATACTAAATAGATTGCAAGCCTTGCACCAGATAGTTAAAACAGCCACGAATCGATTATACTTATTATCTAAAAATGTTTCTTGGTAGCCGATGGAGTGAAGCAAGCTCTACAAATGGCTTTATACACCACGCCTACTTTGATCCACACAAGGTTTGGAGCCAAGAAACTAAATGTTGCCCGAAAGATCGAGAAAAAGTCGGAACTCCAAAGAACTCCAAAAAAAGTCTTGTGAAACTGCAAATCAAAATATGATACTCTAACGGCAACTGGCCCACGCAGTGCAATTACACCATTGGGTGGCTGGCTGGCTCGGGTGGCTTCCCAGTATATACTATGCTACAGCAGTATACTATGCTACAGATAACAGTCATAGCTATTGATTATCTGCACAAAAATGAGAAACATATAAAGTACGATAAAAACCTAAATCCATGAGGAGCTACATCTTCTGTTTCTAAAAGACTAGCTTTTGTACAAACTTGAGAATTAACATTGTACCTCTCAAGGCTCGTGTACACAATTACCACTGTGAAGAAAACTCAGCGTTACCTTGGCAAAAGTATGATTTTGGAATCAATTGTTCAGTATTTCCAATATAATGTGCTTGCGGTGCGGACAAGAATTTGCGCTGTTGCGCGTGAACAAATAGCTAAAACGACTGCACGAAATCGCTCGGATCGCTGTAGACTGCGCACGCGAGAATGTCTGCAATGCGGCTGCCGAGTACGAACGCTATGATGACTCATGCGCGCGAATGCCAGTATCCTGCAAGAGACACGCTCGGAGACATTTACCCCAGGCGATTCCGTGCACTCAACTACACCTTGAAATGCCGGCAATCTGGCGCGCAAATAGTCTGTGTTACACGCGTAGCTATTTGTTCATCAAATTTTCGCAAACTCTTGGCAACGCAAGCACAATATCGTAAGAGGAAAGTCTACTAGACTGTATCAGCAGAAGAAAAGTTACGGTAAGTGCACACATGAATGTTTGGTGCGAATAGTATATTTCCTAAGCAAGTTGCACATTGCCAAAATCTCTGGACGGCGTTCCGATTTTTTTGGTGACTTGGTTTTTTGAAACTTCCTTAGCTCCTATTGCGACTAGCGATGCACGCGTTCCTGAACGTATGAAGGGGGCACCGGTTGTTCCGCGTTATTTGGCGATGATTAGGGTAGCTAAGTTGCGCGTTGCCGCCATCGCCTCCAACCTCTAATTGCTAGCACGTAGCCAACAAAACGGCCAAGTAAGGCTGATTTACGGGTAGGGGAACGAAAGCCGCCAGCTTCGGTCGCCTGCGCGGACTTCTGCTCCTGGGGCGACATGCAACAACGTTGCGAAAGGACCAGCTAGCCGCGAAAGGCGGCTCAAACTGGCGGCTTTCATTCCTCTACCCCTGATTTACTCACCTGCTTACTTTTGCATGGATTATCTTTGTATTCTAATCTTGTGAAAGATTTCCGAGTTGTACGCAAACAGCTGCGTCACAGAGCCGACCAGATAGAACGTACAACACCGGAAGAAAGTGCTGCATGCTCAAAATGTCTAGATTGCCGTTTCCATTTGCTGTACAAACCACAAGGACCTAATCAGTTAGTAGATACTAAGTTCCGTGTGTTTGCCGCTTTCTTTCTTTCCGTCTTGCGCAAATTTAAAAGAGCGCGTACGAACAGTAATTTAATGCTTGCCCAACGTCGCGGTCTGCGTGACAATTTCTAGAGCTCGTCTTTCTCTATCAAACTGTATTACGAAGTCATGTAGAATGTAAAATATGACTTATAGCGACTTACCTATTTGTGTAAGAGTTTTTCACTAGGAAACCGCATCATCATCTAATGGTCAGGAAACTATTTCTATTTTTTCCTTTTTGCTACGACCCAGAATAGCATCAAAAATATTGAAAAGAAGGCGTACTCAAAGCAAGCAATACAGTACAACTTGTGCTTGAAATTGGAAGTGTATGATTGTAAAGTACCAAGCAGAAAGCGATTTCAGATAATAGTTTCTTGGTCAAACCAACAAGCTTTCTTTTGGCTTACAGTCATCGTGGTTTTTTGAAGTCTTATAGTCTTTTAACTGGATTTTTTTGTTCTGTGTGTAGCCTATGGCCTCCAACGCTACTAGACGAGTTAGAAAGAAAGAGCAGTAGCAATTGTATCGAATTAAATGATCGAAAAGAACAGCGATTTTTTCTCAGAATGAACTTTTTACAACCAATCAAACCCTTTTAGAACCCTTACCTTTTCAATCCCCACTATGACTTCTCTAGCCACATCTGTGAAGAGTTCAGCGAGAGTGGTTATGTTAAAGATACCATCGCCTTCTCTATAAACTCTTTTAGTCTGCACCATGAACAGAATTACTTATCATTGAAAGAGAATGAATAACTTACATCTTAGTTACTTGTGAAACTCCGAAGCTCTTACGAGGATTGTGAATCGATTCTCTGTTTTTGGCCAAATTGCAGTTGAATATCTGAAAGGTATTTTTGGATTTTCGAAGGCTGGATTTCGCTTGTTTACTTTTGATGTGATTTATACAGTGCAGGATTATTTATTAGGCTCTTTTCTAAACAAGATTTTCCCGTCAAATTTTTTCTTTCGGAACAAATTTTGCACGCTGTTCGAAAACCCTATTTAAACCTTTTCTTACTATTGTTGCAACAAACTTTGCAATTAATTTGCTGATATTTACAATGCTTCAAACAGCCACCTATAAATCATTCATTGCCTCCACCCCCTTGGGTAGGATTTAAGCGCAAGCAAACGCAAATTTTTGGCAGAGCTACCGTTGGAATTTTTCTAGATATTGCAAAATTGATTATAATTTTTGAATTAGACTGAGAAGTCTAAAGTGGAGTTTTTTTGCTGTTTTTTTTACTGTGAGGATGTGTGAGGGTGTGAGGCACTTTCTTGATGACTTTCTTTGCATCACCGGACTCCTTACATGGAATCAGGAAACTTTTTGATGAGTAGCAGACGCTATTGCTAAGGACAATGTACAAGGAAAAACAGCAAAAAAATCCTTTCCATCGATTTCGGCGATATTGAGTCTTCCAGTGCCCTTAGCAAGAAAACTCTGTGTAAGTTATATTGACAACTTTCTCTGGGCCCGTTCTACCGTCTTCCATCATTTCTTGATCTTGCTTTGAAAATGCCGAACTCGAATAACGCTCGTTGATTGCTTTTTAATGCCAGTGATAGAAATTTCGAAGCAAGAAACATCCTCTCTACAACTTCTACTTTCCCTTGATAGCTTAGAGAAAGTAGAAGTTGTAGAGAGATGTTTCTTTCTGTTAACCAAGTTAGTTTCATTTTGAAACCTTGATAAAACAAGAAGTTATGTTTTTTAGGAAGGCGTAAACAAATTTCGGCTCAACATCATTTTAATGCCAAAATTGTAGCTATCTCGCTTTCCACCTTAGTGCTGGCACACCATGTACTACCAAAAGCCATTACAGGACGAAGCCTCAAATACTTATCGTTTTGAAGTGATAGAAATTTCGAAGCAAGAAAAGCTTCAGAAAATAAAAGCAGCTCCGCTCATCAATTTGAGGTCTTCTCAAGATAATGAGTTTGAAAGTGTGTTTTGCGTTAGAAGGATGCGTCGAAAGTTGATAATTATAATCTGAAGCGAGGTTTTAAATGTTCTGAGTTCTAAATGCACTGAAGCCGAATTTTGGCTTGCATGCTCAGAAAACCCATGCTGATAAAAGCAGAACCTTGCAGCTTCTACCTTCTGAAATAGTCTCTCGTTTTCGATTTCATCTTTTGCAGCAGGGCTTGGACGACTTTGTTAGAGACCCCGCTATCCACCCGTCCAAAAAATGCAAGGTCTTGAGAAAAGCTTGTTTTCGCCATCTTTGCGTCTTCTAAAGTGCACTTTCGAGATCAGCACAGGGGATAAACTTAGGTAGAACATTTTTTGGATTTAGGATTTGCCAAAATACTGCCTTCAAACCTGCAGTATTCGCAATCAATTTTATCTATGACCGCAAGTAACCCGGCAATTCAGTGGGTGGGGAAGGGGGGAGGGGGAATAGAATCTAGCACGCATTTGGACAATACAGGAATTCTTAGCATTAGTGGCAGTTGTGAAATGCATTTCATAAATTAACTTTCAAAAAATTTAGAATAGTCATTGAAGCACCCTGATTTCAATAATTTTTTTGCACAGTTTACTTGGTGCTGAGTTAAAAATTATAGCTGAATTTTAGTAAAAATTCAAACTAACCAGGTGATGTGGTATTTCCATATGGTCAAGGATTGAACTGAGGAAATCTCCTATCAACTCGTTGAAATCATTCAGTTCTGTGTCATTTGGTTGTTTTCCAACCATGATGCTTCCGCTTCTATGCTGACTCGAATCGCATCCTATCATTTTATCAGCCTGGTAATCAGCATTCGCCCACGCAAGAAGTAGCTAAATTTGAATTATGATGTATTTTCAAAAAGAAGGGAGAATGATGAAACTTACGAAGAAGCATGTAAGATGATGCAACATATTGTTGAGGCACTCTACGTTGTTTGCGCTGATCTAGTGCAGTTGGTATTTATTCTAAGACTTGTTTGACCATATGTCTTTGAACAGCTTGCTCAACAAGCCCGGATAAATATTCGTACGTTTATCAGTCATACAAAGCACTTGATGAGTGGAAAGAAACTGCACTTGGATATGTTAGTACACATATAGTACATACCCTTTTATTTTGTAGCAATATGTAGATCTTACTTATATAAACGGATCTATTTGTATTCTTCCCATTGTCTCCTTACACATTAAGAAGTGCATGTTTTCCTTCACAACACCGGTCAGTCACTTTCATTGATACTATTTATGATTTGAAGTGTAGGTATAGGCAACAGCGTCTTACGGTAGTTTTTGGTTCTTTTTTTGGTCAAAAATCCGAGATTTTCTGACTGAAAACCAGTGTGAACGAAATTACGTCGAGGATAGCTCATATGACACCTAAACATATGCCCTTTGAATCAACAGCATTTTGTCATGCTGTACACGACATCGCTTCCTCAATATTGACTTTAAATTCTGGAAAACAATTTTGTAGCCGAGTTCATTCGAATGCATTCCAGCTGGAACGCAGTGAGCAGCTGTATTAAAGGAATCACGAAAATATTTCTGCGCTGTCTATGAATGTACTTGTTGTTTTTAATTCATCTTTCGACGATCTTTGAGTTCTTACCATTTCGTAAAGGTTGATTTAGCTTCGGCTTGCAGTACAATCGTACTAACGATTGCTCTTCTTTATTGTCGACCAGTCCAAAGCGCCGCTTCGCGGCGCTTCGGACTGGCTGTGTGTGTGTGTGAAGTGGGATATGACTTCAAAGTTGAAACTGGAATCCTTTTCTTGCGCAGACATTCAACGAACCCAGAGATTAACAAACATATGTCACAAATTTCCTGCTTTATGTGGTTTCATAAGTACTAACAAAAGTGCCAATAGATTTTTGCCGTTTTCTCCCAGCTTCCCAGGTATGTACGCTCTTGTACTTTGCAAACTTGCGCTTTGCTGCCCTTCCTGAGTTCTTCGAGCCAAAATGCATCCCACTTTCCCTTAATTCCTTTTCACTCAAAAGCTTCCTTTATGAAACTTTCCAAACTACCATTCTTTTCTCGCACTCCCACATCCTTCAGATCTTACTTAGTCGTTTCAAGTCTTGCCTCAGAGGTGCCGCTGAGAAAATGCGAACTTACACCTTTACAGTCTGTCCCCCGAATCAGGCCAAAATTGACATGATGCGCTGCACCTTCAAGATTCCGCGTCATGTCTGCGGTTTGCTAATGGCGGGCTCGGCAACCTTATTCCAACTACGTACAATCTGTCGACTGTTTTGAGCCGGGGCCCTCCCCTCCTCATCGACTGTCCTGCGAAGTGCCCCAACACTTCACAACACTTCACTCTCCATTAAATCTCTTGGGCTCGTATGAAAACCTGGGGCGAGATAAGCGACGTTCCCCGTCATGAAAGGGCCGGGAACACAGTCGAACACATTGCGACTCTAACCAACATTCCAACTTATAATATAGAATTTTTTAAATCAAACAGCATCCCTTCCTCTTCACAAAATATGCTCTGTTGGAAGGGTGCACAAATTCTTTCCAATTCAACATCTTGCTTTCCCCCCAGCTCCACAGTCCACCCCAATTTCCAACTCATCTTGATAGGCTACTGACTTGTATTCTATAAAGAGAGCTATTATTAAAGTTCAACTCCAGATTCAGCTATTCATCCAAGCAAATCTTCAGTGTTTATACGATTCTGGGGCTGTGCAATTTTTTGACAAAATTGCGCCAAAATCTACATGGGGTTGAGTTGGTGGTTAGTGAAGCCCTTTCTTTTCATCTTTTTTACACTGACAGCAAACAGATAGCATGTAGCTCTAAAATTCTATTACGATCGCAGTGACGTTTTCGTAGTATTTCTGAAATTTTCGGTCTTTTGAGAAAAATCAGAAATTCTAAGATGCAGTCTTCTGGACCTACGATTTAGTGCCAAGTGAGCTTTTTGCACATCCAGCGTAGTTTCAAGACAATTCGCATCACCATGTTTCTTATCACTTAGTGGTTAACAATTTGGAAAGTTCACATAGTCTTGAGATGTGAAACGAATAAAATTAAAGACTTTCGAAAAGCATCAGACCTTACAATTACGCTTGATGTGAACTGAGGTGTCGAGTGAGGAGGAGTTTTATGGTGTTGTGTTCAATAGCTTTATTTTATGGTAAACATCATCGAGAAAGCCAAGTTAGCGCAAAATACGATGACGTCATTAGGTTGCACTTACGCGACTGGGTAAAATCGTAACGGTAAACAGTATGGAAGCGAGCGAAAGTGCAAAAGTTAAGACAAAGATCTGGGCAAACATCCTTGCTGGTTGTTGACGTGCGATGGTCCCCCCTGCGCTTTATTATAGGGTATGATTACGGTAGGAACTTTCAGCATACTAGGTCGTGAATAACTGCCGTCTCAAAAAAAAAGGAATCGAAAAAACCCTGAGAACTTTTCTTGCAAAGATTTGTCCACACTAATGTTATAGAACGATCTATAACGAGTTTCTGAAGTTTTTTCAACGATGTAAACAAATAAACAAATAATAAATTTCTAGAAATCACTTATCACTATGTATTTGGTATCCCTATAAGCAACAACAGAAAGTCTGTGTGTTCAGGGGTAACTGTATGTTTTTTGAAGGCCCTTTCTGAGTGAGCCAATAAGCTGAAAATTTGCGCACATATGAACCTGTAGAATACCATAAGCTACTTTTTGAGCCTATTACATATGAAAATGTAAAAATATATTCTTCGAAAGAACAAAGCCTGCTTTGCAGAATGACATCGAAGCATTAGCAAAAATTTCGATTTCACAAATTTCACATAAAGTGTGCTAAATCGAGAAATTTGAAGTGCTTAAAATTGTGTGTTTGTCCAGTACTCCCGCATCTCCTACTCATGCACATGGTGCTATCCAACTTAAACATTCATATGTACAATTGCATTTTTTCGATGGCTAGAAATCAAAAGTGGCATGTTTGTGCAAAGCTAGTGCTGAAGTGTTCCCACATAGGTTGTCCTATCCATAAACCCTTGTAAGTATCATCAAAATTGCCTAGTCTGTAAGCAATAGTTTCCGAGCACCAACTATGGTGTATAACACCAAAAAACTTCAGCAATCCATTTTCTTCTCAATAATTAATTGTAGGAAAAATCCAGTTAACGAGAGTTGGAGATCCGTAAATTTTTTCTCAGTAGAGATCCGATCTTCATGTATTAGGTTGTCTCAAAAGTAAAGTCCATTTCCAAATAAATTGAGGTGTTTTTGTTTTCCTGATTGACTTGGATACTATTCGATAGAGCGGAGCAAGCTCTACAAAAAAACCGCCAAAAATCCGCCTAACATTGTCGTTTTCCAGGCAAAATTTGGAGCCAGACTTCAAATTTCTAGCTCAAAAATCGGACCTCCTTCCAGAAAATACCTACGAACTTTCAACTTGGTCTTTATATAATAGACACATAGTAGCACAAAAAATGTATTTGATTGATTTTTCCCGGGGCTCAAAATTGGGGAAAAAAGACATCCGAAAATACCAAAATACCACCACTTTTTTGGCGTTTTTCATGTAAAACTTGGCATTTTCCGAACATAAGAGCACATAAAAGAGTAAGGTTTTAAGATTATGTTAGGTTGTCCCGAAAGTTTTGTCGGTTTTTTCAAACCACTGTAAAACCACGCACAATAAGGACCTGAGAGAGTTTCAACATGCATTCGATGCAGCTTTTCCTTCTCTTTCTTGTGGATACACTTTCATACCATAATCTTGTATGATTTTTTGATAATTGCCAAAATTCTCCACCTGTCAATTTCACCTGCTCAAAGTTGAGCTGATTTTCAAAAATTTCATTACAAAGTTTCGAAAAAGACTAAGTATGGCTCAAATAGAGCAACTCTCGGGCTACAAGATCATATTTTTAGATTCCCCTAATCTGCTGATTTCAACTTCAAAAAATTATTTCTCCGGAGGCCTTAATTTTTAGCAAAGTCAATGCGCAATTGCAGCAAAAGCATGAAAGCTTTTGCAAATTCAAACTTATTCGTTATTTAACATCATTTATGCAACATAACCAAGTTTGATTTGCTTCGAAAATCAGCTTTTTGGAATTTTCGGTAATTTTACGTGATAAAACGTGTTCAAAAGCCGCGGTTTTTCTCAAATAAATAATTATTACAGACAATGTAAACGTGGCCCACGTAATCTATAATATGCACAATTTAGCCAAAGGTTTGCTCTATATAACAGTCACCGACGCTCATCGAAATTATCAAGATAAAAATTTTGAAAATTCAGGAAAGTTTTGGCGCTACTGCTGAGGTGCTCAAAAAGCCTGGCGATAACATCGTAAAGACGGGTAGATCAGGGAACAAATATAACTATAAGAAAGAGGACAAAAAAAATGAATAGAATGACACCTAGGCCGTCCATGGATTGGTGTTCTGTGAGGTATGGTGAGCGATGAAAGAAACCGACAAAACTTTCGGGACAACCTAATACTTAGAAAGGCTTGTACTATAATGACATGAGGGAAGGGTTGGGGGCGGAGCTTGCCATTTTTAGACTGTCATTTTTTCTCGCTTCCTATGCGCGCGAAAAAATCCGATAAGGGCATCTTTTAGTATTATCATGTGCCTACTGTATAATGAGCTGGAGGTCCGCAGTGTTTTTTTGGCTTCAAACTTTACATGAATGCGACTTAGGCGGACACTTGGCGGTCTTTTCGTAGAGCTTGATCTGTTTGAATGATACCCCAAGTCTACCAGTAAAGCAA